CCCACCCTCAGCAGCAGCTGAGAGGAGTCAAGTCTGGGAAGTTCTGGGCAGGATGATGCAGCCAGGGAGGCGGTGGCGCCACTGCGGGCTGAGCCGTGGGCATGGAGCTGGTGGAGGGGGAGCCAGGCCTAAGGCACTGGGGAGGAGGGCCGTGGGGAGAGGGGAAGGGTGTCCAGATGAGAAACGAGGGCCTGCAGGGAGGGGTCAGGAGCACAAAGCAGGGGCAGCCAGCAGGAGAGCGACTGGGTCACAGGCCAACAGGAGGCCTCCTGGGCAGGACCCTCTTTTATGCACCTGAGGAGGGTGGGGTTATGCTGCTGGGGTCGCACAGGTGCAATGATCTGAAACACCCTTATCCCCCACACCTGAGCCCCTCCGGTGTTCCCAGCTCTTGTGCCTTCCCCTCAGTGCCTGGGGAGAAAAGCACTTTGGGCAGCTCTGGCCGGTAACTTACACTGGGTGGGGGTTGGGGGGGATCCCGGTGGAGGCCCAGCCTCACCTCTAACCAAGCTTCGAGGTGAGACCTGGAGCAAGTCACCGGATCTTAGCCAACATTTTCCATAGGCCAGGGCTTTCTGCGTATTAAATGAACTAAATTCATCCTCACAACCGCCAATGAAATTAACACTCACCGCTGCCACATGATGTAAGCAGCCTGATCATTGCCATTTTAAAATACTGAGGCACAGAGAGGTTAGGTAACTTGCTTCAGGACACACAGCTACTGTGGGCAAAGCTGGGATACCAACCCAAGCGGGTTGGCTCTGGAGCCAGTGCTGACCTCAGGGGCACTGCTTGGGGTGCAGGGGGTGGGGGGGTGGAGAAGAAGGGCTCCCTTTTCTGCCTCCCTCCATAGGTTGGTGTAAAAGAGCGAGCGGGGCGTGTGCATGGCCGGGCAGCCTGTGCCTCGCTCTGGAAGAGGCGACGGTAACACCCCCCGCCCCCGGCTCACCCGTGTAGCCGTCGCGGCAGAGGCAGGTGTAGCCGCCCTCGCGGCTGCGGCAGCGCCCGTGGGGCCCGCAGGGCCGCGAGTAGCAGAGATCCACCTCGGTCTCGCAGTAGTCGCCCGTGAAGCCGGGCGGGCAGCGGCAGCGCAGGCCCCCGACGGGGTGGATGGGCCGGAAGAGCACGGACGAGGAGGCGATGAAGGGCGCCGAGGAGTCGAAGCGCAGCACCGACACGCAGCGCATGTAGTTCTCGCAGGGCTCGCGCAGGCAGATGTTGTCATCGAAGGGCAGCACGCGCTGCGCGGAGATGGCCGTCAGCAGGCTGCGGTTGAGGTACAGGCGCTCCTGTTTAAGGGCAACAGCTGTTTGGTGTAAGGTGTAAGAAAGCGGTTCAATTTTTAATAACCAGTTAGGCAGTTTAGTATATATGGCTTGTCCCGCTGCACGTTGAAGACCACCACGTGGTCCGGGGGCGTGGCCAGCGTGGCCGCCACCGCCTGGATGAAGAGGCCCAGCAGCGGGGACAGGAAGCGCTCGGGGGACATGTCCTCCAGGCGCAGGGTGATGCTGTGCGTGAGCATCTCGTCCGTGATGATGGTGACGCGCAGGGCGCACTGGGCGGTCACACTGTGCACGCCATCTGCGGAGGGGCGGCGACGCGGGTCAGGACCAAGAGCGAGCGGGGGTGCGCCGGAGGGGGGGTGCACGCGGCTGAAACCCAGCGCGCGCTCTTGCATGGCTCAGTTGCCAGGACGGGTCTGGCTTTTTAAAGAAACATCGATGTGAGAGAGACACATCGATTGGCTGCCTCCCTCATGTGCTCTGACCCGGGCCAGGGATTGAGCCTGCATCCAAGGTATGTGCCCTTGACCTGCATTCAACGGGGACCCTTCAGTCCACAGGCCGGCGCTGAGCCAAACCCGTAGGGAGGGGCTCCCTTTTCTAATTGGCATAAAGGTGCCAAGGCGATATGCCACCTGTAGGCAAGTCACTCCTTGAGGATCGGCCCCCAGAGATGCATAGGATTCAATATTCAGAAGTGCTCTCCCACCCTGGCTGGTTGGGCTCAGTGGATAGAGTGTTGGCCTGTGGACTGAAGGGTCACAAGTTCGATTCCTGGTCAAGGGCACATGCCTGGGTTGCGGGCTTGATCCCCAGTGTGGGGTGTACAGGAGGCAGCCAATCAATGATTCTCTCTCATCATTGATTTTCTCTTTCTTCCTCTCCCTTTCTCTCTGAAATCAATAACAATATTCTTTTTTTTTTTTAAAAAAGTGCTCTTTCGCCAAACCCTCTGGTGTGAAGCATGGTGCATCTTTTAATGTCTGTGCACCTTCTTCTGCCCAAGCCATGGGCCTGCTCCCTCAGGCTTCCCTGCAGGAGAACTAACTGTATTCTGCCTTTTTCTTATTTCTCCACAGGACCAGAGCACCAGGGGAGACCCACAAATCGAATCCTCCTGCCCCCTCAGACTTTATATCTCCACACTGCCATAGCCCTGACCCTGGCTGTGCTCCCCCCTCCTCCACCACAGCAGAGAGTGGGGGATGAACTGGGTCAGTGGGCCACCCGGTCCTCCTCCCACTGAGCCCCATGGCTGCTTGGGCGCAGGCCACTATCCCCATAGCAACGCCCCACACAAAGCATTCTTCCCATCCAATTCTCTGGGCTGCTAAGGATAGCCTTGTGGGGTAGGGGGACGGGCTGCACCCCAGGAAATCCAGCTGAGCCACCTAGCCAGTGGCGACAGCACCCACTGCTCTGGTGCTCAGGGGTCTGGGGGGCACAGATGGAAAGGCCTGGGCAGCTGAGACCCTAGACAGAGCCCCACTGGGCTGAAGTCTTCTCTGGCCCTAGGGCCTCTCACTACTCATCGCCCACTTGGCTCGCGGCATCACACCAGGATGCCAGCCACACACTCACAAACGGCTACATACTAACACACGCTGCTGTCTCACTCCACCCACACGCCTAAGCCCAGCAACGCCATACACACCTGAACGCACAGACACATGGGAATGGACTTCATTTAGCTCGAAAATGCCCGCTGCAGGTCAAGGGGAGGGGGAATGGCCTGGCAGGGCTATAAGGAACATTCCTGTTTTCATTTCCTACAGAGGCCTGCACATAGTGGGTGTTCAGTAAATATTGAGATGTTGATGAGAATCTATTCAGTCTCCGTCGTGAAGAAACAGTTTTTAAAACACAGTGGGAGGGGCCCCGAGTAGATATAAAAAAGAACCCTCTAGCAGGAATAGGGCAGGAGGTGGCGTTTCCGGGGCCGGGTGAGAGTCACAGAGGGGTCTGCCGTACAAACGGATTCTGCTTTTCTGTTGTACCCACTGGAGGTGGCTGGCTACACCGGAGGGCTCAGGTGAGGCGAGGAAGGCCATCTCAGCCATGTCTCAGCTCACTGCCCACCTGTCCTCCAGCCTCGCGGCCTGAGGTTGGCAGCAAGGCCTGCCCACTCTCTCAGCAACTCTGCTTGTCATCCTCGGTCGCAGCTCCTCCCACTCTTGTCTCACAGCCTGTTCTTCCTACCTGGCCTCCCCAGCCTCCTAAACTCACCTACTCTGGGAAGCCTGCCCAGATCTATTGGCCTCTGGCTCTGCTTTGCCCCCTCTTTCAGACCCCCCTGCACTCGGGTAGGATGCTCGCACAGGACTCTTGTGTACCTGGGGCCTCTGCCTGGTGATTCCTTGAGGGGAGAGGCCCTTCAGGCAGAAAGCAGCCCCAGAGTCTACACAGAGTGCTCCAGCTGATTAGGGAAGGGAGAGGACAGTCAAGGCCAAGGACCCAGAGAAACCTCACCACCACCGCAGCCCTGGAAACAAGCACTTCTTCCTGGGTTCCCCCCACCACCACCCCAGGCCCCGCCTATGCCCCTCGTCCACTGCGTCTCTGTTGCCTCCCATCTGGTCCACCATCTGTGACCACCTGCCCCCTCTGCTATGGTCCCCCGTCCCCAGCAGTTAGCCTACTGCTCTCTCCTTCCTTTTTGTTCCTCTCCCTTGACTTGACCTGGGTCGCCCCTCAGATGCAAAGGCTGTGGTGAGAAGAGGGGTGGGAGGTGCATTGCCTGAGGCATGCTCCTGGGCATGGCCTCTGACCCCAGGAAACACTACCTGCGTCCAGCGCCCAGCCAGCCACACCTGGAAAAGTGCCAGGGCCCAGACTGTGGCAGAATCAGACTCCAAGTCTCTCTTCCCCTGGCAGATGTGCCAGTGGAGTCTGCAGGCTGCAGGAGGCCTGCCCCTCGTGGGCTGAGCGGGCCTTGGACAGGAGCCCCTGTGTGTCCTAGCAGAGGAAGGAAGGCAAGGAGGATGCGGGTCCAGGACCGCCAGCAGCCCGGGCTGGGGCAGCTGCGGCCAGTGGGCACAAGAGGGGGGAAATCAGAGAGGCAGCCACACGGAGACCAAACAGGGGGAGACAAAGGCCCAGGCAAAGAGCCTGCGACAGAGAAAGTGGGAAAGGAGAGACCAGCACAGGAGAAGGCGAGAGGGCACTGGAAAGGGCAGTGCAGAAGGGCCCCCATGGGCAGGGGCGGGAAGAAAGGAGAGACAAAGAACAAGAGAAGGAAAACAAAGGGGCAGTGGGAGTCAATGCCCCCTTACCCCAACCTCCATGAACTTTGGGGTTGCCGTGGCGACTGCCTCCAAGGGTCAGAGCTGAGGGGAGAGGGTGGGGCTAGGGCTGGAGGGCCAGGGAGGCCTTCCCCTCTATCAGAGAGGAGCCGAGGTCTGGGGCTTGGCCCTGATAGGAGCCCAAAGGCTGGGTGGGGCCTGCTCTGCCACCATCCCTCAGTGTCCTGCCACACTGGCTGAGGGCAGGCTGGGGCAAGGACAAGAGGGAGCGGCTGTCCTTCCCACTGCCCGACCTCCCAGCAGAGAGAAGGACACAAGAGAGAGGAACCACAGCCTCCCACGCCCTCCTCTTGGAGGGGAAACTGAAGCCTCGAAGGCATGGAGTCCTATTCGTGACCTCTAGAAGCCCCCACGCCCTGGCCACCAGAGGAATGGGCAGGGAAGTGTCTGCCCAGGAAGGACCATGATTTGGGAGGAGCTAAAGCCATGCCCTGCATCTCTCTCCTGCCTCTTCCTCCCTCGGGCCCACACTCCCCTTCCTGATATGTGTGGAGTGGGGGTCCGTGATCAACCCATCCCCAGGGGCAGCCTTGTAACAAGGGGTCCTCACAGGATCCCAGCTGTTCCCAGGCCTGGGGAAGGGCTCTGCATCCTGGGGCAGCCCCTCCTTGTGGATGGCGCTCACTCCCCAGAGCTGATAGAAAAGAGCTGATAGAAAAAGGCCGCCCCAACCCCAATCCTCCTCCCCCTCCCCTTCATCAGCAGTATCTGCCAAAACGGGGGCGAGAAAACACTCGACCAAAAACAGCCCTGGGTCCTGGCCAGGCTCCCACACTCCAGGACTCTGTTCCCTCCCCGACCGGATCAGGGGGCTCTGCCCTCAAAGGCCATCAGTCCCCTGGCTCATCCTGGTCCTCGCACCCCATTCCCAGAGCCCAGGCTGGTCCCAGCCAGCAGGGAAGGCCCGGCGTCCTCAGAGCAGCCTCTGGGGTGGCAAGGGGGCCCGGGAGGTCTCGGCCTGCCCCGGGATTCCCTGCAGCCCCTCCCCCAAGCCGGACCGAACCAGGGCCTCTGACAGTGGGGTCTGTTTGGACAGAGACAATGAGCTCTGGCCTGACTTCCTGTGGGAGCTCTGAAGGGGGAGCCAGGCCAGGCCTTTCTGCCTGGAGGGAAAAGAATGCTGGAGACAAAGTCCCCCTCAGCTGGTGTGCGGCTCAGCTGGGAGCCAGAAGGGGCCCAAGAGGCCCGACAGCAGGGTCCTGACCCTGTGCCCCACAGCCTCAGCTCCGCATGAGATCACAGGAGAATCCTGCTGGATGAGGGGTGCGGAAGGGGCCCACTGGCCTCTCTTCCCCTCCCCCAGCTCTTTGCCCCCCTCCCGCCCCCCAGTCTTGCACCCGCCTTTTTTTCACAATTCCTGGCAGCCACAGCCAGGGCAGCCTCACAAGACTTCCTCCAGCACATCACAGACTGGTGGGCAGGGGCAGCCAACCGAAGCAGCCCAGCTCAGCCCTGTGCACTAGCAGCTAGGACTCCTGGGGCTCCTTCCCAACCGGCTTCTGCCCCTCAACCTCCGTGCCAGGCACCAGGCAGAACGGGGGGGGGTCAGGAGTTCCACCCTGGCCAGCCGCCCAGGCCCACCCCCTCGACCCTTCCTTACCTGATACCAGCACGCTCATGATGGCCTCCAGGGGCCGGTTGTTGTCCAGGGCCCGGCTCAGCCTCAGCTCCCCGGTGGAGGCATTGAGCAAGACCAGGCTGAGCTCGTTTCCCCGCTCGAAGCTGTACGTCAGGCTGTCCGAGACGTCGGGGTCGTGGGCAGGCACACGGCCGATGGCACCCCCGGGGAAGCTGCTGGAGCGGTTGGTGACATAGTTGTTGAAAAGGATCTCAAAGTTGCCCAGCACTGGCGGGTTGTCATTGCGGTCAAGCAGGCGGACGTGGACGGTGGCCCGGCTCACCAGGGGAGCCGACGTGGCCTGGATGACCAGGACGTATTCAGGCCGGTCCTCGTAGTCCAAGTCCACCAAAGCGGTGAGCTCCCCAGAGAAGATGTCCAGCTGGAAGACCTCGGGGATGTTGCCCTCCACGATCTGGTACATGATCTGGGCATTGGTGCCTTCATCAGGGTCGGTGGCCGTGACCCGGGCCACGGCCAGCCCAATGGGGCTGTTCTCTTCCACAAACACATCAAACTCGTCCTGCTCAAAGACAGGCGGATTGTCGTTCACATCCAACACAGTGACCGTCACTTCCATGGGCGTGCGGGCTGGAGGCATCCCCTTGTCCACGGCATATGCCCGCAAGACGTACTGGGCCACATTCTCACGATCCAGCCTCCGGAGTGTCCGCACAATGCCCGACGTGGACTCTACAATAAAGTCACCATCGCCATCGTCACCCCCTTGAAAGGTGTAGAAGACCCTGCCGTTCAGGCCAGAGTCACGGTCAGTGGCTGAGATCTGCAGGACGCTGGTGAAAGGGGGCGCGTCCTCATAGATGCTGCCCTGGTAGGAGTCTCGCAGGAACTGAGGGGCGTTGTCATTCACATCATTCACCAGGATCTCCAGGTAGGTGGTGTCAGACTTCTGGGGAATGCCGTTATCCCGGGCGGTGATGGCCAGGGTGTAGGAGACCTGGTCCTCATAGTCCAGCTCCGCCTGCGTCGTGACGGCCCCTGTGTCTGCATCGATACGAAACTGAGGGATGCTGTCCTCCATAAAGTAGGTGATGCGGGCATTCTCACCTGTGTCCTCGTCCGTGGCACTGATCAGCACCACCGTGGTGCCCGCTGGCCGGTCCTCGTTGACATTCACCGTATAGTGGGAGCTCTGAAAGACGGGCCGATGGGTGTTGGCGTCCGTGACGTTCACCACTACCTGCGCCGTGTCCTGCCGCGTGCCGTCGGAGGCAGTGACAGCCAGCACATACTGCCGTTCAAGCTTGTAGTCCAGCGGCAGAGCCAGGGACACCAGCCCGCCACCACTCTGGCTGGTGATGGAGAAGCGGTTCCGGGTGTTGCCGCTGGTGATCTGGTAGGTGATGACGCTGTGGGCATCGCGGTCCACGGCCGACACGGTCACCACGCTGGTGCCCACGGCTGCATCCTCGTTGAGCCGCACCGTGTACTCCGGTTGGGTGAAGGTCGGGTTGTTGTCGTTCACGTCCAGGATGGTCACGCTGACACTGGCCGAGGCGGTGAGCGCGGGGGTGCCGTGGTCTCGGGCTTCCACCCCAAAGCTGTAGAAATCTACTTCCTCCCGGTCCAGCTCAGCAGCCACGGAGATCCATCCGGTGCCATTGTTGATGGTGAAGGGGAAGTCATGTCCAACCCCAGCGAGGCGGTACTCCAGGCGGGCATTGTCCCCGGCGTCAGCGTCGATGGCCTGGACGTGGAGAACCAGGTAGCCTAAGGGGACACTCTCCAGGACAGTGGCCTGGAAGGGGGTGCTGACGAAGATGGGAGCATTGTCGTTGATATCGAGGACCTGCACTGTCACCAGGCCAGAGACGTTGGAGAGCGGGGGGCGGCCACCATCCTGTGCCCGAACCCGTAGGGTGTACTCCTTAGTCGTCTCGTAATCCAGAGGGCTCACCACATCCAGAGCGCCAGTCTGGGCATCCAGGTAAAACTGTCCCCGAGCGTTGCCACTCATGATGCTGTAATGCACCAGGGCGTTGCTGCCCTTGTCTCGATCGGAGGCTGTGACTCTGAGTACTGGGGCCCCGGGGGCCACATCCTCCCGCACCTGCACCACGTAGCGCTTCTCACTGAACTGGGGGGCATTGTCGTTGTCATCCTCCACAGACAGGAAAACAGAGGCTGTGGCGCTCCGTGGACCGGGGTCCCGACCCTGGTCACTGGCCTCCACCGTCAACTGGTAGGATTCCACCTCCTCCCTGTCCACGGGGCCACGCGTTCGGATCACCCCAGAACGAGGGTCGATCTCAAAGACGTCTGAGGGGCTGCCTCCAGGCCCCTCGAGCAGGCGGTACAGAATATTGGCATTGGGCGGGGCGTCGCCATCCGTGGCCCGGACAGTGAGCACCTCATAGCCGACCTCCAGGTTCTCCCTGAGGCTCTCCTTGTACTCCTGCTGCTCGAAGACGGGGTCGTGATCATTGGTGTCGGTCACCAAGATGGTGAGTGTGGCCAGGGCGCTGCGCCGGGGCATGCCGTGATCCTGCGCCGTGACCCTGAACACATGGGTGCTCTTGGTCTCCCGGTCCAGCTCCTCGGCTGTGGTGACAGCGCCCGTGATGGGGTCCAGGGAGAAGAAGTGGTTGGAGCGGCTATCGAAGAGGGCGTCCATGGTGTACTCCAGCCGCCCCGCCTCGCCCTCGTCTGGGTCGATGGCCCGCAGGGAAGCCACAGGTGTACCTGCTGGCTGGTTCTCGGGCACCGTGGCCTGGTAGCTGGGGGGCTGGAACTGGGGGGCTGTATTCACATTCCTTTTCCGACGCCCACCCGTGGGCTCCTCTGCTGACGGTTCCCCTGCCCTGAGCCCTGGGGTCTGCACCAGCTTGCAGGACTGGCATCTCAACCGTGGGGCCTTCAAGCACGGGTGCTCGTGGGGCAGGGTGAGCTTGCCCTGTGGGGAAAGGTGGCCTCCGATGCCCAGGAGGCGACAGCTCCAGGGGCAGCCTTCGGGGGCCGGCGGCAGGGGGATGTGGGCCCCGGGTTCTGGGCACCAGACCCTCAGCCCATCGTGGTGTGGCACCAGATGGCCAGTCAGCTCCGTC